GAAAGTATGTAACAGGTAGAGGGAAGCGTTTCCAACGCTATAAAGTATACATATATATTATTGATCAAGATCACAAGCCGAGTAGATCTAGCCATGTCCGTCGGTCTGTCCGTCCCTATGACCGCTATGGTTGTCTGGCGCGCACATTTGTGAAGATTTTGTTTTAGTGTAAATTGACATTCATTTTATTGATCAATACCTATCTAGGTGCTGAGAATGTTATTTGAAAAGCTATTTAGTTTAAAAGGCTTTGTCATGGTCAGTAGTACTCCTACCGTCCTTTAGGCGCCGTCGCGCTTGCAAGAAATGCCTTGGAAATTTATTTTATTTGATATGTTAAACAGATCTGATCGTCGAGGCACTCGAATAAAGCGTTCTTCCTTGCTTTGGTACTGATAATCACAACAAAATCCCATTCTATTTTTACAAAATATTTTAAAATGTAGGCGCCAGACAGACAGATTTAGCGTTATGGACGGTTGTGGGCTTTAGAGTGACCGTGACACCCTTCTGAAGCACACTTGCGCTGTCCCAGAAGCCCCAACTTTTCTAGCTTTCAAATTTTCCGAGTACTCAGCGTTCATACGGACGGACATACAGACGGACAGACGGACATGGCTAGTTTGACTCGGCTAGTGATCCTGATCAAGAGTACATATACTTTATAGGGTCGAAAACGATTCATTCTGTCTGTTACATAATTTCCCACAAATCTAATATACCCTTTTACTCTAAGAGTAACAAGTAAAAAAGCAAAAATTGTCAAAGTAAAGAAGTTCGTGTTGCATGGGAAGAGTTTGAAGTTCGCCTCGAACAAGTTCGATCGCAACGCGATAATGATCTTCGCAGCCGCGGAGCAACCTTGACCTGGTTCTTGGATCTCAAAAAGGGGCGACAGCGCCAAATGGCAGCAAATTGCAGTTGTGTTTGGCCGATGCCACATGGAGCAGCAGCCACTTGGAAGCAGGAGGCAGGCGGAACCGGTTCCGTGCTCTTTTCCCACCAACATGCAATTATCTGCTTTTTGCAGCGCTTAGCTTTGGAGCCGCCCGTGGGGCACTCACGCAACACGGTGGGCGTGGCACGGCACGTTAAGCTAAATAGGTTTTTTTGGCGGTCAACAGGTTGGTGCGTGTAAGGCTGCGAGGGCGTGGCCGCAAAAAAATAATCGAGCTGCTGAAAAAAGGAGCTCAGAAGTTGGACCAATTATTTGTACACTAGGAATGCCAAATAAAAATGTACTACGACGTCCCCAAAAAACGAAAAACATAAATATGTACATTAGGGCGGACTTTTTTGTTTTTTGTATGAAATTTTAAGGCTATACTCTCATCCCATAATTTATTATTTATATTATATTATTTATTATATTATATTATATATTATATTTATTATTTATATTATATATTTCCTTTTCGTATCCTTATCGCATAACATAAAGAAAAAGTCTTACAAAATTAGTTTTTAGGCGGTGCGCGATGGGAAAGTTACTTTACGAGTAAAGGGTATAAAAAGTATTGTTATTTGTTTTTAGTAATATTCTCTTGTACATCGGGGCTTAGCATTAAAATGGAATTTCACGGTTAAAAAACAAGGAAGAACGCTATAGTCGAGTACCGCGACTATCAGATACCCGTTACTCAGCTAAAGGGACCAAAGGGAAATGGAGATATGCTGGCAGCAAAGCGAGATTAAAATGCGCCACCTACCAACGGTAGACAGATTTAAGCGTTATGGGCGTTAGAGTGGGCGTGGAAAACTTTTTTTTGATCAATCGATAGGTATTGCCGAGACCAATACATTTCAGTTAAAATTTTTTATCTAGCATGTAAATTGTGGGCGTCACAAGCTTGGGCGGTTTGTGTGCGTTAAAGTGGGCGTGGCAAGTTTTTTTTTAAATCAATCAATAAGTATTGATGAGAACAATACATTTCAGTTAAAATTTTTATTCTAGCATCAAAACTGTAGGAGCCACAGTTTTGGGCGGTTTGTGGACGTTAGAGTGGGCGTGGCACTTTGCTGAAACAAACTTGCGTAAGAAGCTCAGGAATCTGCACGCCAAATCTCAATAGCCTAGCTCTTATAGTTTCCGAGATCTCAGCGTTCATCCGGACGGACAGACAGACGGACAGACGGTCAGACGGAAAGACGGACAGACGGACATGGCTAGATCGACTCGGCTAGTGATCCTGATCAAGAATATATATACTTTTTGGGGTCGGAAACGCTTCCTTCTGCCTGTTACATACTTTCCGACGAATCTAGTATACCCTTTTACTCTACGAGTAACGGGTATAACAAGGAAGAACGCTATAGTCGAGTACCTCGACTATCAGATACCCGTTACTCAGCTAATGGGACCAAAGGGAAATTGAGATATACAAGCAGCAAAGCGAGATAGAAATGCGCCACCTACCCGTGATCTCAATATAAGGTTATGTGGGCGGTAGACAGATTTAAGCGTTATGGGCGTTAGAGTGGGCGTGGCAAACTTTTATTTTAATCAGTCGATAGGTATTGACGAGACCAATATATTTTAGTTAAAATTTTTTATCTAGCATGAGAATTGTGGGCGCCACAGATTTGGGCGGTTTGTGGGCGTTAGAGTGGGCGTGGCTTATTCGCGTAACAAACTTGCTCTGCGTACAAGGCTACGACTTTTAAATCTGAGATCCCATTTCTCTCTTTGATAGTTTCTGCAATATCCACGTTTGGGTTTGGATTTTTTTTGGGTCAATCGATAGGTATTGACGAGAACAATACATTTCAGTTAAAATTTTTATTCTAGCATCAAAACTGTAGGAGCCACAGTTTTGGGGGGTTTGTGGGCGTTAGAGTGGGGGTGGCACTCTGCTGAAACAAACTTGCGCTGCGCAGGAATCTCAGAAATCTGCATGCCTAATCCCAGTATTGTAGCTTTTATAGTTTCCGAGATCTCAGCGTTCATACGGACAGACGGACAGACGGACGGACGGACAGACGGACATGGCTAGATCGTCTCTGGTAGTGATCCTGATCAAGAATATATATACTTTAAGGGATCGGAAACGCTTCCTTCTGCCTGTTACATACTTTTCGACGAATCTAGTATAACCTTTTACTCTACGAGTAACGCGTATAATAATTTTTATAAAAATCAGAAAATGAATGAGAAAAGAAAGATAACGATATAGTCGAGTGCTTTGACTATTACTCAGCTATCAAATTTAACTTGGTTAACAATTAAAATCATTTTTGGCACGCCGTTAGATATTGAAAACAAAATATAACCTCACATATTAACTTAAACTATTACTAATAGAATTCGATTAATATTTCAGAATCTGGAATTACATTTTTAAAAAATCAGACAATCTATAATTGGAAAATACTAAGAAAATAATTTAAACTTTGTTATTATTGATCATATTCTCTTCTACTCTGGTATATAACGTTTTTTAATATTTCACACTTACGAATTAAATTTAATAAAAATCGGACTTCTGTGTCATATAGCTGCCATAGGAAGGACCGAAAAAATAATGTCAAAATAATACAAAAATCGTTGTATTTCGTTTTCGGTAAATCTTATTCGCTAGTAAATTAAAAGAGGGTGTTACCTTAAAATTTCCATAATAGTTTTTTTAATGTTCCTAAAATTACAAAGCTATTTTTATATATTGCTTCCATATGAAGGACCTGCAAGGGTGTATAATCTAATCTGCTTGCGCTGCGCAAGAACCTCAATAATCTGCATGCCAAGTCCCAACTTTCTAGCTTTTATAGTTACCGAGATCTAAGCGTTAATAGGGACGACAGACGGACATGACAAGTTCGACTCGGCTTATAAAGAATATATATACTTTATAGGGTTGGAAATGCTACCTTCTCCCTGTTACATGCCTTCCGACGAATCTATTAAACCCTTTTACTCTACAAGGAATGGGTATAATCACGTGAAGAGAATATCGAGGTTTAAAATATTATTAGTGGCTTACCACACACTATAGAACAAACTGAATGGATGTATCTAATCGATTAATTTAATTGAGAATATAGCCTGCGTATGAACCAAGTCCCCAAATATTATTTCTCTTTCATGCGAAAAGAAACGCCCTCCGCTTCGCTCTTTGTTAATGTAAATCGCCCAAAGATATTTCATCGAATCGATTCAAATTTTTCTCCAGTGCTTCCAAAATTTCTTTGATTTAAAGACGGCTGTTTTAACATGTTTTGTGTGTTATTTTCTTTACGATTGCCTGGGCTTGGGTTGAGGCCTTTGCGCAATCGTAAGAGTTCCTTTCAAATCATAATTTTATTTAAATTTTAAAGTCTTACAACATTTCTCTCCTAACGCAAAAAATTTAAATTTTTTCCATTGTTAGGCCAAAAATCATCAGTAAAGATGGAAATCTTATTTTCGAATCCGCGGTTGATCGGAATATCAGTATCTGGCTAAGCGGAAGTTCGGGACTCACTATCAACGACCAGATTGATGTGCTGAAGCTTTTATTAGCTATTGAAGGCTCCCAAAATTATGATTTTAACTCACACGGGAAAATTAGAGAATGTCCAAGAAATTGCAGATCAGTTGGAAGATTTCAAAAGTCGTGCTTTTGGTCCAAACGGATTACAAATTCAGCTGCAACAGCTGAAGATCAGGTAAGCGACGAGAGGACTAAAATTGGGTTTCGAAATTCGTTTTGATCAAAACATTTTTGTAAAATATTGGAAATAGTGTTGTTGTCCTAGTTGTATACTATTATAGTATTAAGCAATGAACAACTCGATGAGTTATTAAAGGGAAAGCAGGGGCTCATTTGAAGAAGGTCAATTTCAAATTATCCATACAGGCTAGAATCATTTTCACATTTATATACCAGGTTTTCCCATTTGCCTTGAACATTACATTTGGATACCCTTTCTTGCAATACGTAGGGTACTTTAAAATACATATTACCCTTCTTTTATCTCATCATATCTATTCTAATTTATTATGATATAGATCGTCAGATAGAACGATGGGTCAGTTCCGCTTGAGGTTCGAAATCAGGGTTCTGCAGACGCGTGTGCAGGCAAACCAATGTGCAAGTGGACCCTGTCAGAATGGCGGAACGTGCACTAACACCTATACTGGTTTTCACTGCGAGTGCCGTTCGGCCTTTGATGTAAAAACTACTCTTATCTTTCTTGGTAACCCAAAAATATTGGGGAGTATTACATTAAGAGGCGTCTGAGTTGGTGCGAAAATGTTTCTCTTAATGTTGCAACAATTAAATTATTTTGAAATGTGATTTGCAGCGATAGTTGTTATAAATTTTAGTTTTTCAGTGCTTGGCTTTGAACTTAGGAGCTATCCATATATTGCGCATTCATAGTTTTGCTGATTATTGACAGCAGCATTAATTTTCACAGAAATAATCCTTTGACTGACACAGCGCCTTCCCCATGTGATTGTATGGTCAGCCCATTAGCAAGTACCAAACCTCTTTTTTATCTTGCAAAGAAAAATTAGCTTTCAAAATATTTGGACATAAGGCTGCGCGACGAAGCCAACACAATGTACCCCACAGAGGAGGACTGCTTTTCAGTGGGCGTTAAGATCTACGAGGGAACAGAGGACACTGGATCACCACGTCTCCAATACTGCCGATCACATCCACCCGCCTTGATCTCCCATGGCCCGGCGCTGACTATCAGTGTACCTCTTATGCTGGTGGAGGAATTCGAGGGCTACTGCATGGTCATGGACAGGGCCTGTGGCAGCATTTATTCAGCCTTGTCTGGCCGATTTTGTTCACCTGACTATCCTGACTATCACCTATGCATCTGGGTTCTGCAGGCCAATCAGGGCAACTCCATCAGTCTTACCTTGGAGGCAATGGATATCGAGGAATCGGAGGGTTGTAATAGGGACTATCTGGAGGTGCGCGAGGGTTCGGACAAGGGAAACCTAATTGGGGCCTACTGTGGCAAGCAGGTGCCTATGACCATTCACTCGCAAAGTTCTATCTGTATGAAGTTCAGGAGCGATGACGTCAATGTGGGCGATGGATTTATGGCTTCCTACAACTACGGTAAGTACAGATGTATTCGTAATGTTCCCGGTCTTGCCCTCATTTTGATATTACTCAGAGCACCACAACTATTTTAATGGCACTGATGTCTTTGTGGAATCGGCGCACTATCCCAGCAAGTTCGAGGATTCCAACTCGTACAGCTGGCTTATTACCGTGAATGAGGGATATGTGGTAATAATAAAAGTGCTCAACCTTAGGGATGTGGACCAAGAGCATTTGCTATTCTACGATGGTTATTCGCCTAATGATCCTCCTATCGAGGTCATAGACCCGGAAGCGCGAATGCAGTCTACTTCACGGCCAGCAGGGGTCCCTTCCGACTAAGTTGGCAGCGGATCAGATCACTACTAAAGAGAATGTGACCTCTTGTGGCCACCAGCTAATCACCATCGATGCCACGACCGTCAATCGACGAGAAATGGTGTTGCAGTCACCAGGCTATCCAAATGGCTACGAACACCAATTGAACTGTGCTTGGAGTTTGCTTCCCTCAAATAAGGCAGAACATGTGGTTCTTCAGCTGATTGACATTTATCTGAAGGTTTTTAGTAGTGCCGACGAGTGTCTAGCAGATTACGTGCAAGTCTCCAGCAGTAAAGACCTCAAGACATGGTCAAAATTAAGTACAATGTGCAGTATGCCCAATGACGGGAATGCAACAATTTTTCACGGTAAGCCGTATTTCCGAGTGGATTTTAGGACTGATGCTTCGAGGATAATATATAGGGAGAACTGACGACCGTTTCAAATAGGGCGTATTTAAAGGTACGTTACGTAGGTATACCGCGCTTCCTGCTGTCCTTCAGATTCACAGAATGGGCTAACGAATGTTCCAGCAAAATCCATCTCTCCAAAGTCGAAGACGAGGAGTCCATCAGTTCACCCGCGGATCAGGGCTTCAGCTTCCGCTACAACTCAGTGGGCTCCCGCTGTGACGAGACCATGGTGCCCCCGGTTTAATGTCGAGCAAAACGTGGTTAATGATATGGCCTTCCAGGGTTCTAATCTCACCCAGCCACTTTACTGCATCTACGACATCAAGCCACCGTTAAACAGCACCATTCTGATTCAGGTAAGCGATTTAAAATTAGCTGTACTGATAGTTTATTGGTCTTTTTATTGGTCAATACCTTTCAAACGGTTTTTTAATGACAAATAGTTATATATGTTATGTACTAAAAGTTAAGGCATCTTAAGGGCTATATAGTTTGAAACTCAAAACAAAATCGTTTGAACCATTTTATAGAAAGCAGCCACAAAGTGGTATAAAATAAAAACTAAAGGCAGCGTTATTAGCATATTGAAATACATTTCACCTGTATCATTAGTTGAAACTTAAAGCCTTTCAAATCTGTTTTTTTTTTGGATTTCCCGCTAAATTAGTGGATTTTTCCAAAAGTCGAGAACAAAAGATTTCTGTCTCGATCTTCTTATACACCCATAAAGTGCACAAGACCCTAAAACTAAACAGGGTTTCAAACAAACCCACAAACAGAGGGACAAACATTTTGATTTTTGAAAGTTTCCCAAAATCTTGCTTTTGGAATAACTTTCGAACGAAGCATCGGATTTTTTCATATGAACTATTTTAATAGCCCGGGGTATTTATCCCCACCGACCCCAACAGATTAAATTTCTCCGAAGCCCCTTACAATTTTTAATGGGGTATTGCAATTTAAATTTCTGGACCAGGTCTCTTCTAGCCATATTAGGACCAATTGGCTTTTCTTAAAAAAAGTTTTTATCGATAAAAGCTCTATAAACCTTTTTCATGTGTATCCACGTTAGATACTATTCACGATTAGTCAAAATCTTACCTCGGCAGAAAAATGAAATTGACCCGTCAACATTTTTCACAACTTTCGACGTGCGACAAAAGTGCATGATGAACTTAAATCTTTCTAATGAATTCAACCGAGGCCGACGCTCGCTTGAAAACGAAGGTCGTGGAAGTGGTCCAAAAACTGTCGTTGTGGAAAGAGCATTGCATCCTTGGGCATTTCTGCCACCAGCATAAATAACATATTGCATGAACACCTGGCCCTTAAAAAGGTTTATTCTTGTTGGATCCCGCACAATTTGACAATCGCTCAAAAAAGGGTCATCAAATTTTGGAAAAATACAATCGCGTCACAGGTGACGAATCTTGGATCTATACTAATGCGCCCGAAACAAATCTGCAATCGACCGTGTGAGTCTTTGAAGACGAGCCAAAAAAGTTGTTCGTGAAAGAAGCACTTCGAAGCAAATGGTCGCCTGTTTCTTTGGTAAAACGCGCCACGTGGCGACTGTTGCGGTTGAGAAACGTAGGACGGTCCATTCTGAGAATAATGAGAAATTCGAGTACCGAACAAGAGAAGACGGATCATTGTGCACCATGACACGCCGATCTATTACACATCAGCTCAAACCAGCGCCTTTTTGACCGGCCAAAACGTCGAATTGATAGATCATCCGCTGTACAGTCCTGACTTGCCACCCAATGACTTCTTTTTATTTCCGCACATCATGGGAAAATTCGTGGTCGACGATTTTCGTCGCCAGAAGATGCTGTTGAAGCGTTCGAAAACCATGCTTTGAAGTGTCTCAATCGGAGTGGAAAAAGAGCTTCGGCAATTGGATAGCATGCAAAAGTGTATAAACCGTGCTGGAGAATACTTTGAAAAACATTAAACTAAATTTGTTGATAAATATTTAAATTTTCATTATTAGGCCAGAAGTATACAATACAAGTATACAGTACAATATAAAAGGGTATACTAGTATGTAACAGGCAGAAGGAAGCGTTTCCGACCCCATAATGTATATATATTCTTGATCAGGATCACTAGCCGAGTCGATCTAGCCACTTCCGTCCGTCTGTCCGTATGAACGCTGAGATGTCGGAAACTATAGAAGTTAGGATATCGGAATTTGGCGTGTAGATTCCTGTGCTTCCTGAGCAGTGCAAGTTTGCTTCAGCAAGATTTCACGTTATGTGGCGTATTAGTGATTTCTCGTAAACAGCCGATAGGAATGAACGATAGGTCTTACCTAAGTAACAGCTATCTGATAGTCGAGGCAGTCGACTTTAGCGTTTTCTCTTGTTATTTCTTAGTGTATGTGCGGTAGTCGCTTTCCCACACTATCCTGGTGCGCTTCATCACTACGTGGACTGCCGTCCGCAGTGATTTACCCTTTTCCTCTACGAGTAAGGGGTATAAAAAGTAGTGACTATTTTTGTTGCGCGAAAATATTCCAGGTGCCGTTTTCACTTATTCCAGGTGAAGCAGTACGACAACAGCCCTTTAATGATGGCAAGCTATACCTTTTGCGAATCACACTCACCGCTCTCCATAACCAGTACACATGGGTCGCATTCATTGATCAACCACCGGCTCTGTGGCTATACACCCGGCGGAATCATGCCCTCTACACTCGTATCCTTTCCTATCCAACTAGTTGTGTCGATCGTGCGTGAGCCATCTCGAGCTCAGCTACAGCATGCAGGCCTGTGGCGGAGTGCACATCCTCAAAGGGAACGAGGAGGGACGAGAACCAATGGGAATGGATAGGATCGAGGGAGCTATCGACTGTTCCTGGGCTGTTTTATTCGGCGACAATGCTCGGCTCGCTAACCTGCAATCTGCCCACTCCGAATGAAGTCGAGGGAGAACAGTATTGTCGGCATCAGTATCTTACGGTAAAAACGTTTTGGTTTTTATTGTATTACTTAATATAATCAATTAGTTTCCCCACTATTATAGATTGATGAGAGTTCAGACAGGATCCAACCACTGGCAATCAATTGTCAAAACGATACCGTCGAAATGAGAGTAAATAATCTCTTTATGGAATACCACTCCGATAATTTCTCCCCCATCGCTATTTTAAATCTATCCATAGATTTCGGATCGAAATGGGGGTGTGGTGGTAAGTGGTTCTATCCGTATCCGACAGTAGTTTCGAGAGCAGTACAAGAACAACATGGAGTGCATCTGGGAGGCAACGGCGGAGAAAGGCTTTTACATCGGGCTAACTTTTCAGGATCGATTCTTCATCGAAGACAGCCCCGGCTGCGACAAGGACTTTCTTCTTGTCCAGCAATACACTGAATCGTGGAGCGATATCCAGAGGATTTGCAGTCGAAAAGCGCCAGAGAAGATAAGCTCAACCCAGTGGAGTATGAAGTTAGTTTTTCGCTCCAATGACGATGTGGTGGGCGATGGTTTTGTGGCCAACTTCGAGAGACATTGCGGAGGGTTATTCTACGCCGAAGATTTGGAATATCAGTTTACAAATCCAGAAATTCCTGAAATCTATAGAAGAAGTGTGAACTGTAGCTGGACGATAGTGTCACGGTATCCTTTAGAACAGCAACATGTGCTGGTCAGCTTCCCGTCCACACCCACGTGCGCATCGTACCAACTCACGCTGACCATGCAGTATGCCGAGGGCCGTGTAAGGACATCCGACGTCTGCGGTTGGTCCTCTAGACGTGAATACATAGCGCCGCAGGCCATAACAGCGGTATTTCAAACGGATAACTTAGTCCCCGGTGAGCTATTTCGTTTGTAATACAGCGTCTTCCAGTGCGGAGGCACGGTTGATAAAGCGGGCGTAGTCGAATCCCCCAACAAAGCCGGGGTTGGTTGTTACTGGCATCTTTCGGCCCCCGCCGGCCATAAGATCACTATTAAGTTCGAACTCCTAAGCTTCGAAGCCTATGGCAATGACAATTGTTCTGACAACGGCGTTGAGACCTACGCCGGTTCGATTCAGGAAGTTAAAATGCGACGAGCTCGTTTTTGAGGGAGCATAGCATAGGATCTGCCGGAGATCAGTATTTCCCAAGATCGAAGTCTAATACGCTACTACAACCATTTCAGTAACTTATCCTACCGGATGGATTCCGAGCAATAGTGAGCATGGTGCAAAACTGCGATGAGCAGATTCAACTAAACAAGTTCAACAGCGCAGAAGACTACGCCCCCAATCTGGGCTGCCACATTGTTTTCCGGGTGAACATCGATCAGCAGATCAAACTGAGGTTCGGTATCTTCAATGTGGAGAACTCGTCGAACTGTCAGAAGGATTACGTGGAGTTGCGGGACTGCGGCGGACACTTAGCCAATATCATCGGTCGTTTCTGCGGTCAGGATCAACCGGCTAGCCTTTATAGCTCCCGGCATACGCTCTTTCTTCAATTCGTCACCGATTCCCAGGACAACGCCTCTGTCCTCGACCTAAGTCTAGATGCTGTTCCCCGGTTTTGCGGTGTCCCGGAAATCCAGTTGAAGTCTGACGGACTCAAAGAGGTTACTATGGGCATTCCGATGAAGGTGCTCGGTTGGGACTACGGCATTGGTTGCTTTTGGAAAGTTTTAGGCGATTCACCACTGGTTGTGCACTTTGTCAACTTCAATCTTCAAGGTCCCGATGCCAACGGAAGCTGTGTGGCCGAATACCTGCAGATCTACAGTAAAGAGGTGAGGATCACTTAAAAAATATATCACAACATTAGTTTTCTGAACTGTAGATAGGATATCTTATTTAACATCATGGGTACTTCACCAACTGAAACCAAAATACGCTCTTGTGTAACAATTGACAAGTTTGCAATAATAATAATTTTTAGTTACAACAGCAGAAATTCTAAACTAGTTAGTTCATATTTAAAACCAATAACTTTATAAAACTTACTGATCCTTATTGCTTCTGGTCATTAGGACGCCCAGATGGTGGATCAGGAGGTTGACAGTGAGCTGTTCTTCCACAGAGACCAGTCCTCAGAACCCGCCACTGACCACGTATATTGTGGGACCGTGAAGCCAGGTACTTATTACGCCGACAATGGCGAATTGAACCTGAGGTACTGGTCAAACGGATTAACTTCCGGTGCCGGGTTCCAGGTGCACATCTCGTTGTCCTCCAGCTGCGATCGCCACTACAGTGGCCTGCAGGGGAGAGTGGGTCTATCGGCTACCAACGACTGCAATATCATTATCCGAGCCCCAGTAGATCACACACTGAGTCTGTACTTCAACATGCCTTACTACAGCGACACTTTGGGCTACTGTTCATATATTTTGGAGGCTTTCGACAGAAGCAATCGATCATTGACGCACCTCTGCGGGGTAGGGAGTACAACAGACACCCTCTTCAGCCATACGGATGAGCTGCGGCTACAATTAATGGCAAAATCAAAACTAGAAAAGCTAGACATCACCCACCTGGCCACTCCTGTGGAAAAAGAACCCGGATGTGGGGGTCAGTTCTAGAACACCGCGGGAACCTTCACCAATCCCTACTATCCGGAGATTGTGCGGAATAACTCCGACTGTCGGTGGATCGTTCGTGTGCCCAATAACAATAAAGTGCTGTTCAAAATATCTCGTGAGTTAAAAGAGTTTAAGATGTTGTTTCAAGATTTTTTATATTTTTCGTTCCTCTTCAGACATCTTTTTGGGCTCGATGAAAACTTGTCAGACACACTATCTCCAGATCCTGGAACAAGATGAGACCGGAGTGGAGCGCCAGATGCGTTGCTTCTGTGGTTACGATAGCCCCGATAACTACATGAGCCAGCGCAGTCAAGTTGTGGTCCGATTTCACAAGACACCAGACTTCGACGGCACAGGCTGGGCTATTCAATTTGCCGGTGTCCATTCCAACTATATACCATCAAAATTAAGTGGTTGGTATACGAAATACTGGTTACAAGCAACCCCTTTAAAAAAGGTATGAATTTTAAAATATTTCAACAATTTCAGTTTGGGCCTGTCTGTCTAAAGTATAATTATAGATACTCAGTAATACAAGTGCTAGAAAAGACCCCGAATTCAAGCGGATGGGTTCGTTTTGTTGACGATTTAAAAAAACCGAATCTTCTGGTGTACAAAGAAACAAATATACATGGAATGTTCAAAGAATGTTTTTATTTATGTTAATTAACAGTTTAAGGCTTCATTCTTGTGTCGCGTATCCTGCGCCATTTTCTCCCCGCCATCTGCAGTCCAGCTCCGATTTGGAATATGCCAACATGGGCCTTGAATGAGTGGGAGCCGGATTAGGGACGGGGTTGTACCGCTGATGCTGCAGGAAGTTGCTAAGCATCCTTGCAAAGGATGGTAATTGCTCCTCCTTGTCCTTGTCCCTGTCCCTTAGCGGGCAGCCTTTTTTCCTCCTGGTGGTTCTGCTAAAAAGATACTGATGTATATTAGTACAACAAAACGAAATTCTTTCGGCCAGAACTTATTCTTTGCGTGGACCATGTCCATGACCAGGAAGTCTTGACAAGCTCCTTCCCAATGGGCTTCTCGATTGGATTATCTCCAGCAATTCCACTATTATGCGGTAACTGTGGATGTGCTAATGCTACTATCTGTGGGTCAAGTCCTACACTAATGGGCACCTTGGATAAGGCTTGGATTATATATTCTTTTTCATATGCCCTGACCTCCTGCAGGCGTTTTGGGGTTTGCCTTCCATTTTTAAATTTTCGAACACTCCAAAAGTTTGAATTTCTTATTCCTTAGAAAATGTTCCTTAAACGACGGTCTGTGATGTATTTATATTCAAAATGTAAACTAAAGATTTGATTACTTGATATTGGTAAACGGATTTGAAATTTATTTAAAGTCCACGTTAAGTCCTCGTTAAGAGGTGTTTTTATATTTCGTTACGATTACTATAAAATATTGATTTTAAGAAGTAAATATGTAATTTTGAAATAAATATATAAAAAATGTATATCACTGACAATATCTATAATCTAAACTAATAAACCTGTGAGCTCACATTAGATGGAAATTTTTTGAATATTTTTATCTAGCCCAGCGTGCAATTGATTTTCCCGTTTACCCTTCATAAAGCCTCTCTTTGTTGTTGGCATTGCCTCGTGCTTGTCGCCGATTTCTTGCGCTTTGCCCATCAACTTGCAGTACAAAGAGCCTCCGAGAGCCGTTAACCGGTTCTAGAGAGCTTTTCATCTAATACCAAGTTCAAGGTCGAGCGCGAGACCGAGACCACAGTGCATCGCAAAGGTGTGACTATACATACATATGTACATATATATATATATACCTGGCAAGCATCGGGACAACCCAACTAGCAAATAACGTCCAAATCAGCAAGCATTCCACAAAGTTTCAACCGCAAACACTGAGCGGATATTCGAGAAATAAAAATTATCATAGCCGAAATAACATTATAACGAAATCCCTAAAAATACTGAATATAAAAAACAAATCATCTTTGACTAACACCTTTAGGATAATTATGTTCTGAAAGAAATGTTTTTTTTATTATTATTTGTGGGTCAATTCGGACTATATTTAACTGTCACAAAAAATGTAAGTTG